TCTTTGCATTTTCGGACCATCTCAATAGGAGATATCTATCCGGTATTTTCTTAATGTGTAAAAAATTTAGCACTCGTAGAGAGTGTGCATACAGTAGTCCCATCATTTCGAACTTCCAGCAGCTACATTGAATATTCATCCTCAAACTGTCAAAATGAACTACCCAAGTACTGTTTGTCTTATGATCATCCAAACTCTTAATGAAAAATTCAATTTTATCGTTTATGGAGGCATGTAATTAAAGACCACATGATCCGTGTATAAACTCTTCCTCGAACATTGCGTACAACTTTCTTGAGTAAAATGCAGCTGTCTGCCTCAGTATTGGACTACTCTTCGTAATAGGAGTTATGATAGATTGATCACACTTGAAATCCTCATCCTTTTCGTTGCGCCTCCATGTTCTCATTACATTTTCAATACCCAAAAAAAAATTTGTAATAGAACTTGTGAGCTTTGAGAGACCATGACAAATGTTATTGGTTGATTCACTCCTTTTTGTAGATAAAATTCTCATTCTAAATATATCTTTATTAAAAGCAGTAGACCACTTGTGTCTAATCTTGTACATATCATCTAGCCACACATTGTCATGCAAATTTCCTATATCAATCATCACCTCTCATGTATTATCAAATTCCTCTTCAGACTCGCATTTGCTCAAGCATTTATAAAAAAGATCACTGACTATCTTATTCACCCCCCACAATGAACCTTTATAGGTAATTTCTTGTATATGTGTCACTGACATAATCTATGTCGTGTATTTGACAAAATCTCTGTTATTGCTCTAGTCATAGCCTGATCCTGATCGGTATAAATTATTATTGGATGATTATCAGTCATGATACAGATGAAAGTTTTAAAAACCATTTAAAAGAGTCCACCGTCTCCTCTACCGTCTCCTCTAACAAAAAGACAAAAAGACGACTCCAAAGAGAACATTCTGTCAATTGTGGTTAACACCAACAATAGAAGCACAATATAAGTTATATTTATTTAACTTATAGCTTGTATAAAAAATAATGACATATCCAAAGCAGTTATAATAAAGTCTGGATGTTCCGTCGCTAAAAAAAAACTCATTAGCCTACCGCTCACATCAGTTTCAAAGTCTCATTCAAACATGTTATTCTCAGAACGTCTCTCTGCAAACAACTGTAATAAAGCGTTGGCAACACTACTTTCAATTCTAGATCTCTTCTCTCTTTGAATGAAATTGAAAGCATCTGTCTTTGTATATTCTAGGTTCTCTACACCCCAAACTTCTTGGGCTAGAAAATTAAACGCGTCTTTCGGCCTTATCTCAGACTGTGTCATAGATCTAAGAGCATTTGCATTTACTTCACTTATTTTTCTGCTGGAACGCAGTAAGTGCTTGTCACCAGGGTTCACTAATGAGTGATTATGTGATTCAATTAATTTTTTAACTGCCTAGTTGTCTTCCTTATCAACTCTGTATCAAGTCATTGCAGGGCAACCAGTTCTTGTTTCTGCTCTTCTGTATTTAACAGTTTCTGTAATCTTAAGCTCTTTCTTGAAACCTGATTTTTCACATACAAAGTTCTTCATCCTGATATTTCTGGAGTTAGGCCAAAACGTAGCGTGCTCCTTATGAACACTGAATCCAATATGATGAGTGTAAGCACAATATACTTCATAAGCTTTTTTCTCATTGTGGACCATTGTTTGGAGTAATATGTTGGTTATTTGTTCGGTACAACTACCTTTGCTCTCACCAAGCTGCACAAAAACAACCCTAAAATTCATAATAACAACTCATAATAAAAAAATTTAAAAACTAGTTATTTACTTCACTGTTTTTACTGGATTTAAATGTCCGATATAATATTTATTTCAATCTTTACTTTACTACTTTTATTAAACCTAATACCATGCAATTCTACGAACATAACTCTCCGATATAATATTTATTTCAATCTTTACTTTACTATTTTTATTAAACCTAATACCATGCAATTCTACCAACATAACTCCAAAAATAAGAAAGCCCTAACAATCCTAACAACAAACAACATTGAATAAAGCCCTAAAAAAATATAATAAGAAGACATCTCCAAACACACCTCCGATTTAAGTTTCACTTCATCTTTCCTGACAGGATAACTCTCATCTTCTCCTTCAACATCATACACAAACTAGCAATCTCTGTACTCGTACTCCATCTTCAAGTTCGAGAAGTTTAGCTGCCTGAAGCCACCGCTGCAGAAAAAAATGGGCAGAGAAGAATAGAACAATAACCCTAGCTGCTTAAATACTGTGATTCCCGCGCTCCAATTTGCGTAACTCGTTGTTACATTAAAGTTACACAAGGGGTACATTGACGATTCCGCATGGACGACATTAGAGGAACATTACATTCGGGTTACATGCGCGGTACAGCCTGACCGCGGAGGTTACACCGGTTTTACATTACAACAAGAGGACACGCGCATTACAGGGGCGTTACCCCAGAACTTACACCGGGGTTACATCCAGTGTACACGCGCAGTTCAGGGCCGTGGCCGTAGGGTCGTGGCTGTGGAGGTTACACCAGGGTTACATTTAGTGTACAGCCGTGTTATAGGGGGTGAGCGTGGAGGTTACACCGGTATTACATCCAGTGGTATTACATCCAGTGTACACGCCCAGTGTACACGCGCGTTACAGGGGGGTGACAGCAGAGATTACACTGGTGTTACATAGGGCTTACAAGCGCTTTACATGGGGGGTGACAACGGAGATTACAACGGGATTACACGAAGGTTACAATAACGGGTCGGGTGGACGGGTCACGGGCGGTAAAAAATCTATTTGTTTTAAGGTGGGACCGGCAAAGCTGATGTGTCTTCCTCTAATTGGGCATCGCACGCAACGCTGCATGCGTCTTATGTACGCAAATTTTTTTCCAACAACAGTCCAAAAGTCTCCAGGGGTTCTACAATGCAGGCGCAAAATGCAAAACAACATGCTAAGAGGCTCAAGACACTTCAGCGAGGAAGTATGTTCTCTCATCCATGTCAGACCAATTGATAAGCCAAAAACATAATTTTATGGCACCAATACTCAAAAATCCGCCCAAAATTGGTTGCCCGTGATAGCCACCGATCCCACGCGATCCATTCATTAAACCGTGCAAAATCCCAAACAATTTACTATTGCATGCGATCTCACGTGCTGAGGATCACACGATTCACATACTGCGATACATGCGACGCGATATGTGAACCAAATCACTGACCTAGCCAGCTCCACTCCGTTTGATCCATCCTACGATGTCGACCCAACTGGCCCGACCCACGTCGCGCTGTTCGATCCTCCTACGATGTCGAGCTAATCGACCCGACTAGGCCATGTCTCTCAAGCAATTTCCCATGATGTGTGGCCCGACCTGACCCGATAGCCCGCGTAATTGTGCTCGACTTGCCATCCCATCCAGCTAATCCGTGACCTGTCATCCCATCCGGCCAACTAGTACCCCTGTGACACACCAACCCACACAAGAGTCGCTGACCCGTAATCCAAGCCACGCCCCTAACCCGCTATGACCTGCGCCACACCTAACCTGCGGCAACCCGCACCAAACTCTCTTATGCGTTCAACAATTGCCGTCGTTGCCTGCAAGCCACTATCACCGTAAATCGCAAGCCAACTCCAAAATATTTGAATTTTTTGATTTTTTTTTGAAATTTTTATTATATTCTCATTATTTTGATTATTTTTAGATAATATGAAAACACCCAAAAATAAGGGGGCAACTTATGCGTCATCAATTAAATTTATCATTTGACACAAATCTTTATGCATTTGACATAGATCCCGAGGCATTTTTGAGTAAGAAACACTGATTCAAATTAAAATCTACCAAGAGCTCCGATTTCAGTAAACATATAGTCAAACAGACTGGCTCGAAAAGACAAATCAAATGATAACAAAATTGATCTAATTCGAGTTAGATCAAGCTCAGATCAAACTGTTAAATGACTTTTAAATCTTTTGGTTTGTTAATTGGGGGGTCAAATAAAGTAGAAATTCGAGGTGCCTATAATTGAATCAAGCACCTCGACGAGAGGAATCCAATGAGCCCAAAATCACATGATTTTGAGATCATTAAGACCATCAGATCATCATAAAATCTTGTATGATTAAGGGGAATCAATATAGGTCATTCGATTTGATGGTTATGATGGTTATCTACTAAAAGAAAAAAATGTCACTTCTAATAGGGCCTATAAATAGATCCCTCTCTTTACTGGAGGGAAGGAGAAGAAGAGAAAGAGCTTAATTATAGTGTTTCTCTGAACTGAAGACCTAACGATAACTTATGATCTCCGTAGCCACTGACCACCACCCGTCGGCCACCATCAACCACCGCTGACATCTCTCTGCTCGCCACTATTGGTAGACTCTATTGGGTAACATAGTACATTGTTGAGTAATAAAGTACTCTGTTGAGTAACAAAGAATCCTAAATACTACACAATGACATATCTTGAACGCGGTTTATTAAAGACTCTGTGATAACTATTGGTGACAACTTCTCTCGAACAATGTATTTAAAATATAACATATCATTTGTATATTATGGACATACAAACATTATACTTGGTGTAACAGTGTAACACTCTTT